AGGGGAATTGTATTTGTATATCGAAGAGATATGGCCGAGAAATTGGGAGAAAAATTGGGATGGTTGGTGTTCCATGGAAACTTGCCGATTGAGGAGAAGATGCGCGTGTATCAGGAATTCGCCACGAAAGAAGGTTCAATGGTGGTGGCGACGTCCGCATTCAGCCATGGTGTTGATGTAGCGAGGGTGGGGCATGTGATAACCGTCGGGGGAGTCGATAATATTATTGACTTCCAGCAAGTGGTGGGTAGAATGTGGCGTGGAGAAGGAAGCAAAATTGGGCGGTCATACGTGTTGTTAGATTACGGGTTTCGCGATTCGCAGATCACGCCCGCTAGATGTGTTAATCTGGTATTAGCGTCCAGTCTATATGGGAGCAGTGATGCTGATTGCGAGGCGCTTGGATGTGTGAAATGCTCTGTTTGTGATCCCCAGAAAAGAGTAAGCGCAGGAGCGTATGTGCCAGGAATAGAAGATCGCGAGATCGTAAGGGCAGCTGAAGATCAGGAAAGTAGCCAAGAGATGGTACCATATTCAATGAGTGCGGAATTGCGGGAGTGGATGCAGTCGCATGAATTCAATATTCTCCGCATGCATAGGTTGAGGCCATCAAGTGAGTTTGTAGGCAAGGCGTTGGGATGCTATAGTGATACGTGCTTTGGGACGCTTATCAATGTGGGAATAATTGAAGGAATAGAGATGTGCAATGGGTGTTTTTTATCGCAGGAGCATGCATTTGGATTTGATGCCGAGCATGTTTGTTCGACGTCAGCTATGCAATGTTCGCTCACCCCCCTTCTTCAAGGATTCTTGGTGAAGTTTCTCTGGCAAGCAGAGGAGCCGGCTAGCCAGTTGCAGGAGTTGGCAGTGACGGGAAGAATAAGCGGGGCATTGCGGCAAAGCTATATTAATATGGTGGTTGATGCCAAAGAAGGGCGAGATCGGGAGTTCTTTCATGAGTTAGTAAAAGGCTGTTGGATGCGTGGGAATGAAGTTTCAATTCTCAGCGAAATGGTTGAGAGGGTCAACGAATATATCAAAAAGCCAGCTGTAAGTAGCGAGCAGCTTGTGTATAAGCCAACCGGTGGAAGCAGCATAATGAATGATTTGGCGTTCAGAACGATGGTGAGAGATAGCTGGAATCGCATGCGGATAGTGAATGAAGAAAGAGCGTTTGGCTATTGTGCCAGATGCTGGTTGAAGGGTAAGCATCAAGAGCGAAGAGAATGTAATCGAGATGTGATAGTGGAGATCCTTGTGCATGCGTATAACGAGAAGGTGGCCATGGCGCAGTATTGGAATCAGG